TAAGAGAGGTGGTTAAAACAACCATCGTCTTTGACACAGCCCAGACGCATGCCAAAAAATATTAACGCGTTAGTGAAGGATTAGTTAGCCAAGCTACAGTACTAAACGCACAGAGACTGGCAAGAAAAATTAATATAGGAGTTGCAAACATGACAAAAACAAATTAGAAAATTCACCACACCTTATAAGTGCAATCGGCCATAAAACTGGAAGTTCCAATTATTTAAATAAGTCGAATGGGCGTAAAAACGGAAAGAAAGCTATGAGACTCCTCCAAAAAAGTAGCGAAGTTGTGATTGCCTTACACTTCTGGACAGACTCAAATTCACAATTCATGCGTCAATCTTCACAACACTAAGACTCTGTAAATGCTGGACTAGCACCTTTGAGCAAAACTCCACCCCTTCTCTCATCTTACACATCCGTAATAAAATGTGAGGACCAAAGGCCAAAGATCAGGAGAAAGTGTGCATGTTAGTCTGGAACCAACTCGTATCCAAACTAAAAAGAACACTCATTTACCATAAACTAAGCATCGGAGAAAAAGCGAGAAATAACTAAAAAACGCAAACAGAATTAAACTGAAATTAGGCAGCATGCATATTAACAATGAACTTCTACTAACCTGCCCGGTGATGTAGCTGTTGGTTGGGGTAGTGATGTTGCAAAGGGACAGTGTGATGAGTTGAAAGACTATCATGAGGCGTTAGGGAGACCGAAGACATTCGTTGTACCGAGGGTACTTGTGATGAGGTCGATGGTGGAAGTGATGATGGTGCAGAAGGCGGAGGTGGTGGAAAGGACTGGGGTGGCAGACGCTTTGCTGTCGGTTCGTCTTCGTCATCAGACTCTGTCAAGTCGATCATCACTTCCGCGTCACCAGCATTCTGCGGAGAACCAATTACAATGTTTTACAAAAAGCTACTTAATACCAACGCTGCCTGGTAAAGGTAGATATTCTAATTGTGATTAAATAGGTTAATGAATCAGCAAATGGGGTTGCAGAAACTTTTCGGTGTGGAAAAAATCAAGACACCACACTTGCATAGATTCTTGGAGGGCTATGCCAATGTTGATGCATCGCCCCTTAGTGACAATTCGAAGTAGCGCAAAGGTTCCTTACATTAAAAAGACAATAAGAAGGAAAATAAGTCCCTCAATCAGCAATGCACAAGTCTAGCGTAACTTTCAGCAAAAGAGGTAACAAGTAGAGCATCATGTGACAGCATGAAGGGGATGCGAAATCGCGTAAACATGATGCTAAGCGTGAAAAATCCTATTGGTCTCAAAAGCAACCCACAACAGAGAATTAGTGTTAAATGAATTTCTAGAAGCTCGCAGCGCCATAAAGCCAATTGTCAAGCCTTAACAATAAATGAAAAAAGGAAAGGAAAAACAGGGTACCTCATTGCATGCAATGGCATTGGCGCTTCCTGCAGAACTTCTTTTCAGACCAGAGGAAGATTGAAGACAAGTGCCGTCACCATTCAAAACAGAGGAGGGTGAAGAGGTTCCATCCGATCTGCAAGAGACTTCACTAGCACAAACGGGCCTCATCGTAGTCCAGGACCCATCTTCGTTGAAAACTATCTCCTCCACGTCTTGAGACTCTTTTGAGGCCAATATATTTAAGAGGAGGCTGAAATGATTAAGTTATTCTAGTGTACAACTTATTAACTAGATTAGATTAACTGACGACCTCAACATCAGGGTGTCAGAAATAAGCAATGACAAACCAAAAAATCTGTTCTATTCACCTATGCCCTCAGGTTGAATTCACCTCCCACACATTCTTCCTCTTCAAATTCAAGCAACAACCTTGAAGAGATGAAAAGCAAATCGTGCCACGAGTACCGAATAATGAATGAAGAAATTAAGAGAGCCGGTTCCTCGCACGTAGTGTTTAAGACAGAACGATATTTAATGCGAAAACAAATGAGCGTAAACTGAGTGCACCACCGATCGCTGTAATAATAGGCAGCGGCAACTTTGGGCTAGCTTTTTGCCTTGCTACTCGAATGCCATCAGTCAGAGACTACTTCATTGACCTTTCGATGAAAAAAACGCCTAAAAGATTTTTCAGGTCCCACGGTGGTGCAGAGATCGTGAGCTTGAAGGCAAAAAACGCACAAGTACTCAACACGATGAAAAACAAGGCTGCATTGGAAAATTTACTGTTACGTTAAAAGGTCAGCAGCAAAAAGCCAAGGGAAATGAAGACAACAGATTCCTCCAAAAAATTACAGAGTTGCCAGGTGAATAGGAATAGGATAAGGCAGAAAATGCGAATAAATACGAGCGCACGGAACACCGTAGTCAATAAACCACGAAAACGTTTAATGGCAATTTGACTTCCTATTGTACTTAATCCAAAATCGCACACTACTTATAGCTAGGACAACTCCAACATAGGCCGAGACAGATATACCCAGACTTCCAATCAAATCTTAAGGAAAATTACGGAAGAATACTCACCCATCGACAAATAGTTCGTGGAAAGGGGCCAGAATGTCACAAACGGGACATTTCCATGCGGGCTTTCGCTCATTAATGAGGAGATAAGTGTCAGCGTCGTAGCACTGGATGTGCTGACATCTTTGACCTCTAACAGGCAACTTTATGCGGCACTTGGAGAGAGGGCACAGCAGTTGCACAGGCAGGGTGTTCTGAATTTGCAGATCGTCATCATCGCTTTCTTCTACCATACCACCGCCGCTGCCAACGCTACAGGATGTGACGGTGGAGGCAAGCTTGTCCACTATTTGCTTCTATACAAAAATAAATTGCCAACAACCACAGTTACATCGAGGGAATAAGATCATTTAAGTAGCTTAATAGAGATGACCCGAGAGGATAGGATTGTGCAGGAGCAAGAATGTAGTAAAGAAAAACTAAAATAAACTAAGTTTGGATTCATGGAGCACTCATTATAAGGCAATGGCCAGAAGAATTACCCCTACCTGGACAACTTGAGCGGACCGATAGGCGTGAGTTCGAAGAGCCTCGCATAGTTCCTTGGTTGAGTGCTTTTGGACGAGGTATATCGCAAAAAAGTTGTAGGAAAAGGTTGAGTAATCGTGCGACCAAGACAGTTTCACATGGTTGGATACAGACGGAGACACACGTAACTAAATGTAAATGTGATTCATGTATACGATAAACATGACTATGCATGGGAAAACATCAATCCCAAAGCACCCTAGTGTGAAAAAATTCAGCGATTGGCCCCTAATGCAATTATGACGTTAATTGGCTACACTTCTAAGTGTAGAAACAGCAAGCGCCGAAGACAGAAACCAGATGTGTTCCAACACGTGCCGAAATCCTAGATCACTAAAGACGGATTTCAGCGTGTTACGACACGGAGACTGTGTACACAAGTTAAAATAAGTTATAAAATACATAGCATCAACTGGGCGTAAGAACAGCATACCAGTGGCGTAATGTTGATCGGCCGAGCATAGCGCCGACCGTCCATATTGGGTCTGCAGGTTGGGAGCAACGGCGGGAGAGTAGCCTGCTTTACATTTACGAAAATATTGAGATGAATGGGCATGCTGTCAACAAAGGGCGCCAGAGTGGATCTCTTTGAGTCCGAAGTCGAGGCTGCAACAACTTCCGATAGAAGAGAAGGTTCAAGTTTGCCAAAACGCATCAGCACTTGCACACCAAAATCTCTGCGATTGCCGTCCAGCCGATGACTTTAAAGAAATTTCAGAAATATCAGGTAAGATTTTACCCATGTTCCGGCAAAGACTACGCTATTGTCTCAATCAGCGCCTAGACGAATGCGAAAAAAGTGATACAATAACTGAACAACAAATTAGGATATCCTGACATTGTATCCAACCTTTCAGTTTCGGAGTGCACAGCCTTACTTCAGCAGCTCAGAAAAAGCAACCGGGAAGCAACCCCATCATAGTCAAAAACAGCTCTCAGAACTTGCATTGACCGAACTTTAAACCACATTTATATCAATATAATTATCTTAACGCAACTTGCAAAAGTTTTCACAGAAGTGTCAACCAACAATCACTGCAATAGATCGAATATTCGACATTTACCTAGTAGAACCCAGAATTTAGAACTTTGAAACTATTCATGACTACATAATTTATAGTTTAATTGCAAAGTCGTTAAACGCAGAAAATGTTAGCACCTATGATAAGTGATGGTTTCTGCTTGGTCTGAATTGATGCGAAAATCAAGCAGACGTTCGTAAATTCGCTTGCCGGGTGTGAAGTTGTATGCAGAAGGTGTCATTATGGTGGGATGGATGATCACGTCCAAAACTTTGTAGAATGGAGACTCCTCGAAACGCAACGGAGGACAAATCGGAAGTCGCAAAACTCCGTCAGCTAATAAAAATCGCAAGAAAATCAAAGTAACAGCAGCTGATGTAGCGAACCCAAGAAAAGTAAACCGGTGGTAGGTAAAAAATGCGGATGTAACGCGTGAATCAACTATTATGAGCACAGGTTCATTCCCAAGATAATGTAAAGTCAGAACTGGACTGTGAAGCTAACATCCGGAAACCTACGCATTGGCAACGTTGTAAATCCACTGTTGGCTTGCAAATTTGGTCGCGACGGTTCGGATGAGTACATTGATTTCCGCGAGTCACGATTATTTTGACCAGCAATACTCCAATTCTGAGGATCGGTAGGGATGGCAGCGGACCTCATATGAGCAGAACGTAGATTTGACTGGGCTAACTGATGCTGATGAGACAATTGTAGCGGAACTCGAAGGGAATTCGCATTTTGCTGCAACCGTATCAGTGACTGCTTATCCACATTGTCTGCTGTAGACTGCGTCCCAGGGTTTATCTCGGGCATGGGTGGGCCTAATGGAGTAAGGCGAATAAGCACCAGCAAGCGAAATGCCGCCAAAGGAATACGAAAAGGAATCCATACCGTCAAGAGCAAGAGCCTGAATGTCGCCTGGACGAAGACCAAACCGGGACATAGTCGTTTGCATCATTAAATTAACCTCCAAAATGAACTCGGCTGATGGGCCAACGTCAATGTAATTAACGAGCCTAACAATAAGAGAATCCTTTAATCCGCTTGTAGGTAAACCAGCAACCTTAAGCAGACTTTCGAGTGCTTTCCTTTTGCATGAATGAATGTACTCCTACGGAACACATAGATCGATGCCAAAATCAAACCACCTTTAAGCTGGTCTTAGAAATCATCTAAAGTAGCGCTGTGAGTTAACTAAAACACTGAAAAGAAAATCAGTGCAGGCCAAATTTTTGCAGAGTAAGATAAAACTTCAATTTTCATTGCGTAACAAAACGAAAATGAAATAGATTTTCAAAGGCGACTTGGCTTTATAGCAATGGTTAGCATAATAGTTGTGAAGAACTTGTATTTTATGTATCGGTCTTTAAAATTACCACTAAACAAGCCACAATTCCCCTTGAATTACAGTTACTTGATTCATATATGTGCATTTATTTTTCTTCCAAGGAGCCTGATCGAATTTTCTCTAAACGGTCTTAATGAATCAGGGTAACTTATACCGAAACATTTGAAGGAAAATAGAAAAGTGTAATAAAATGATTTCATGATATTATAGGCTGGAATTGTACTGTTTAAGATAAACAATTTAGCTCCTTGGTCATAGACGGGGATTTAGAACTACATAGGACAGAGTAAAGAAGTTTTGCGTCTTGTCTTAATCCGATAGCCCGTTATATGATAACAATGATAAGACCAATGCCAAAAGGGCTGTAATGCTTTGGTTATTTGACTACCCAACGTTTAGTGGACACCTTAGAATTTGTCTGTATATTAACCGTATGTCTACCCTCTGGTTCCTGGTCCTCAGATTTCAAGAGGTTGTTGGCTGCAGACGCTTTATTAGGCATAGCTATTAGGAAGGATAGGAATAGGATACAGATGAGATGAGTTGGAGATATCAATCAGAAGGGGGCTCCCCGTCGACTTCACGCACGCGATTCACCTTCCCGATTTGTCCCCGCCTCTCACCTAAAAAGTCCGTTTAAACAAATTAGTATATATTACAGTCTGGCCCGTGTACACGTGGACTAGCCTTCGGGCCACTCTTAGGACACGTTTGTCCTGTCGTCTTCAGAATACATGTATTCAACCTCACATATGCCTTCTACTGCTCAATGGGAAGCCTTTGGACGCTACTCTATTGACAGCAGATAGCGGATCTGACATTTTTAACAATTTTTTGTGTAGAGTGCTTTTGAAAGCAAAATAATGTGTGGGAAAATCTATTGCAACTGCTTTACTGACATCCTATGTTTCCTATTTAATTGAAGTATTTCCGAAAAAGAACAGTACGATCAAGCTCATGAGCGAAAATTTGATCGAATTATGCATTGATTCAATATATGCAAATACCCCAAACTTGGGTCTCCTTGACCGGAAAGTCGAAATCTCTCTTTCCACGACAAGAAACTCATAATCCAACCAGCAGACAAGATTGCAAAGGAATTATAATTTTAAGTACAGAAATCCAAGATTAATAAGCGCATTTTGGCATTGTGAAGTAGCAATCATAATCTATACATGAGTAGAAGGAAGTCCGAATGTAGCAAAGTGCAATAGATGAAGATACAGGCGAAATGGGGACGCGAAATGAAGGAGACACATTTGCCTTGATGACGGGGATTCCTTATATCCTTTACAAGGGAAAGGTTGAAACTGACGTATGAATTTGATTTTACCTTAGTCCCGTGTTCCACAGGCAAGCTGTTAACAACTGGAGCGACATCGCCTGAACAACCTAGAAAAGTGTCGTTTCGAATTTTCCCGCACAAAATCCGTGTTTAGATGTTGGAAGTGACACCACGGTTTCCCTTACATACGAGGCAGTGGCACATCCCGTTTTCCTTTTAACATATCTGTTCTATACCAGAGTTGTAACACCTAGTCCTGGAAGCAATAGACGGTCAACATGAGCATGCGGCCTCGAATCCGGTTGTGAAACCGATGCAGTTGAACCTACCGAGGAGACTAGGTAAGGTTCCCCAGTCTCGTGTTGTCCACTGAGTGGCGCTGTTGGCTTGTAAGTGTTTTCATGTAGTACCGAATATGTTGTGGTAGCTGTCGCGGGAGGTGTACCAAAGGTGAGCGCCGAAGACGTCACTCATAAGAAGAGAGGGGTAGTGTAAGGCTTCGTGTGTGTAAATAGGTGACGTTAGGCTTTCATTTTTGGATTTGTCTGGCCCCTGTACACGTGGGCTGGCCTTCGGGACACGCTCAGGCTCATTTGTCTTTTCGTCTTCAGTATATATATGTATTCAATCTCACTTGTGCCTTCTACTGCCCTTTGAGAATCCTCAGGACGCTACATCAGTAACAATAGGTAACTGCATCAATAAAAACGGAATATGAGTCTACTCTGATCAAATTTCCAAGTCACTGAAAATGTGAAATGAGAATACAAAAAGCTTTGATAAACAATTTCTTGCATTTATTATTTGTATGTGTAGTGAAAAGCTAAATATAGATGCGAAAATTTTTAATGTGCAAAAAAATGTGAATCTTTGAGTTTGTTTATATCAGTGACGCAAATCGAAATCTTCATATCCAGTAATTCTCAGCACAAATCAAAATTTAAGATGGTGAAGGACAAGTCGAAGCCCAAGAGGGCTCTGTCTCCCTACGCCGTTTTCGTTCAATCAATGCGTGACGAATACAAAAAGAAGAATCCTTCAGCTTCGATTGACTTTTCCGCGTTTTCCAAGGAATGTTCTGCCAAATGGAAGGTAAGACTGCAAATCTTTATCTTGGTAGGCTCTCTCAGCTAAGGAAAGGAAAAAGTACGAGGATATCGCGGCAAAAGACAAGGAGCGGTATCAAAAGGCTATGAAGAATTACACACCGCCCTCAAATGATGATAAAAAGAAGAAGAAAAAGGATCCTAATGCTCCGAAAAAGCCGATGTCTGCTTTCTTTCTCTTCTGTCAGGATGAGCGTCCTAAAGTTCGAGAGGCACATCCAGATTGGTCTGTCGGTCAGTGCGCTAAAGAACTCGCTTCTCGATGGGAACAATGCAAGAATAGGTCAAAATACGATACTCAGGCTTCTCAAGAGAAGGCGAAGTACCAAAAAGCAATGGAGAAATACAACGCGAAGAAGGGAGACGACAACTCGTAAACCGTTGATGCCAGGCACTACATTTTTCAATGCATTTTGTAATAGGGTCTGATTATCTCGGTTGATGTTCGGTCAATTTTTACCCCGCATGTTATGTATATTTGTCCAAAAGTATCTGCCATTGTTACATGGACTTTTTATATGCATGTATTTTATCTGAAGTATAATATTAAGTTTGTAAAAAAAGACATTCATTGGCTGTGCCGTTGGTTTAACTTCCTCCGGTAGGCCTTGTGGCCTGTACAGTATGTTTGGTTGGCTACTTGTGAATCTTCAGGCTCACCAACACTGGGTTGAGCGGTCCTACCCACTAGAGAAATTTGCGGTGGCGAACACTCGGGTGGGCATGGGGTGTACTGATTGTCTGTGTGCTGATTAGCTCTCATTTGTTCATGGGCCTAATTTTTTTCATCATACGGTTCTCCCGTAAAGTGTGCTTCTGACTTGTAGTGTCGATCTCGAGCGACTTGTAGGACAATTGCTTAAGAGGACCATTTTTGAGATCGAAGCACGCAACTGGAGTCGGCCTCGTCAAAATTGTATCTCTTAACCACTGCCCTGGCAGTCCCTCGTTCCGTGCAGTTTCTTATACCAACGTCGCACTAGTTTTTAGCACCTTGATATCCTCGGAATTCCAGGTGGACTTAGATTTCTGTTGCAGGATATCAAAGTGTCATGCTCTGAGGTGAAGCTGTGTTGCTTGCCAGTTTCCGGGAGCCTGTTCAATTTGGTCATGATTGCCTTTTCAGTGAGGAGCCATCACGCATGTCCTTTCACGCTTTGTTTGCTATCATACTTTAGGTTTCAATCCATCGCTTCCAGTGGCTAGAACATGTGTAATAGTCTCATGTGTTTGGTCGACATTGTGGCGTCAGTTGCTAATGCGCTCTTCTTTTGCAACATAATCATTTCAATCTCAGCCTAACCGAATGTTGTTATTCCCCTTCTGAAGCTTAAGGTCATTTGGATAAATGATAGCTTAACAGCACATCATGATTTTCAACGTTCGGATTATGCGCATTGCATGAATGTCGACTTGTTATGACGTGTCGGCAACTCAATCGACAAAATGAGCTATTAAAAGCATGTTATTTTCTTTACTTTGCAAGAAATTGTGAAGATCTTCAAGTATGGAAGCAAAGCTAAGCCTGGTTACTGTTCTGTTCCTTGTTGATGATATCGTCGAGGTTGTCTTTGTCGTGTTTGTCTAGCATAGAGCTTCACCGCCCAGAAACCCGACGTCCGGTGGTTACCAGTCGAGCGAACTCGGACTAGTTGTGCTGATTCAGAAGTCACTACGGGCTGATTACAGAACACTGCGCAGTGGCTGAAACTTGCATTCTTCAAGGTGGGTCAGCATTATTTTAATTGAAGCGATAGTAATGCGGGCCCAAGTTGACAGTAGAATGCCCTTAGTCCAGCACAAGTAGTCGTTTTTCACTTGCCTCCTGAAACAGTATTCTAGGAGTTGGCAGTTCTCTTATGCATCGGCTACAGCTTCACACACATGTGTGTAAGGGTCTTCCATTGCTTAAAGAGGACGATGAGACGGGTAATCATCATTGCTACTGCCTGGAGGTGTGCAAGCGCGTTCTTTGCCTCTATGCTGCCACTGCTGCCTGTTTGCCCACTTTGCTTCGTTTCGCGTGTGCCTACGCGTTTTGCCTAGCCTCCGTTATAATCAATGCCATTCACTGTTGCCATAGGAAATAAACACATGGATAGCTTTGTGGTAGTGTATACACATGCATTGGGCAATGGGGATCCTCGATATCACCACTTTTGTGGCAAATGAATAGCTTTGATGGTGTAAATCTATTTGACTGCTTGGCTGTGAGCAGCAGCGTACTTTTGACAATTTGTAGATCGGAGGGGTGGCAACTTGTTTTTCCCCCTCCTGTCTCCTCCACCAAAAAAAGTTGTGATTTACGAATGTCTTTGCAGCTAGTCGGGGGCTTCTTTTTTGTAGGATGGAAACTATTTAAGGTGTTTGTTGTACCTCTAGGATAACAAAAATTTCAACCCTCTTCATAACTTGTATGCTCACTACGGAATGGTAGTTGAATCCAAATTCATGCGAGCATAGACGTGAGTGTGATGCAGTTGGCCCTAATGGTAGTGGCAGAACCGCTCGTGTCCCCACATTTACGTACACGTGTGTATGCACAGCGCAACTAATCGTCCCAACTATGGTGAGGCTTCATTCAGCATGAATCACGATGTTCTGTATTGTCGGCTCCCGTGCGAACATGTGGTGCAGAGGGCGAGCGAGCGAGCGAGCGAGCGAGAGTGAGAGCATCAGTAGCGGTGGGGTAGGCGAGATGCGGCTCGGCTCCCCCCTCCCTCCCCCCCCACGCCTCTCAATTACCTTTGGATGAGTCATCCGACCGAGGTTATGTATGGGTGTACTCTGCCCTCTCCCCCTTTCTGCCCTCGGATCAACACAAACATCACGTGTCATCAGGAGATGCTCATTGGACTCTGCCTATGCATTCATCCACATCGGATCTTGACTTCGCAAGCCATAAAGACCACGAGGGACTCCTTTTCGTGGTGGCATAAGCGTGCCTCGAGCAAAGACCTCGTCCACTTTGCTTTACCTTTAATCCTCATATCGAAGGAAGCAAAATGGATATGTGTGAATCATTTCACAAAATTTCGTAAATTAATTAGCAAATTTGAATGTCACTCATAGCAATGACTACAAAGGCGTGACCACCAAATGAAGTTCACCTGGGTCAGGTTAATGTGCGGATGATTAAGTAAGGAGTAACGAAATAACAACTCATTTTTAGATTTAAAATGCCCGTTTAATATTCTCTTTTATAGTTTCCGTGTTTTCATGGATTACCAGCGAGGTAAGCAGACGTTGGAGACATGAAGGAGGATGAGCCCTCGGCGAAGGGGATGAGGACGAGACACTCGCCCTTTCCATCACATCACTACTCAAAGTGTGAGATTTCTCTCCTTCAAGGCACTTCAGTGACAAGTGACTCCTGTAGCACCACAGGAGTAAGACTTGCCTTCCACTCCCCTACACGTATTCAGCTCTTCGCATCACTCGTTTTTCTTGTGCTCAGCTTTGGCACACACTCACCTTCTGCATTGCCTTCAATTGGATCAAGTGGCTCTGCCCTTCTACCACACTCGGTTGAGCATCAGCAACAAGAAGGCCTCTTTGATAATCGCAACTGCTCACACGCACACACACACATGCTTGCAAAGACAACACACAAACGAAGTAGCAACGGTGGTAGTGATGCTGATAATGTGTGCTCTCAAAGGGTGCATTCTGTCATTGGTGAAGGCATCATCACGTTGATGCACAATTACTTCATCTTTCCAACTCCAGCACTCCTCATTACCTCCTTTCCATTGCAGCATCCACTAGTGAGTAGTTGTGCTCGAGAGTGGATACCTCCTCCTCCGTCTCACTATCCTCGCGTTGTGACTTCACTCCACCGGCATTTTAGTCTCGGCCAACTTCGTACACGCTATTACAAGTTAATTGCACAAATACGCTTCAA